TGGATTCCAAGTAGAGACTATCGGCAAAGTGGTGTCTTCTGGGTATTTGCTGCCGCTGACACCCCCTCTAGCACCCCCAAAGGAAGAGAAATGAAACCCTAATGCGTCACTTGTTAGGTTCCCCTCTTCATTTCCATAATCCCGACCCCAAAATTTCGTGCAATCCCGTACTTGGGCGCATACTTTCAATTACGAAAATCCCTCCCCGATTTTGCTTTAAAATCCCGAATCCCGAGTTTCAAAAAATCCAAGATTCCGAAAAACCTATGGGTACTCTAACTTATCTAGCATCCCCAACGTTGGACAAATGAAACAGTTAAGAATTCATATTTCCATGACTATCTCTCCGTTTGTTAACCGTAAATTTGTAGATACGAACCCTTAAATTCAAAATTAAATTAGCGAAATTTACCCTAAGGCAAGCATTAGAGTGCGAGTATCTCCAAAAATTGTGTTTCATCATCAGTGTAAGGACCTGTAAAACTCAGGAGTGACGTAAAACAAAGGAATCAAGGAAGTCGGCGCAAAAGAACCTAGGAAATGAAAAGGTGCGAAAAAAAGAAAAAGTTCACAGGTTCTTACACCGAGATAAACCCAAAATTGTAGCGCTAAATGACGAGGTCGTGGGCCGGGACTGGATTGAGCGTGTATTACGCGACCGAGTTTTATTATTTGTTGAATTGAATTGATACATATTTAACTATTCACCTTCTATGTCGAAGTACATATTCAGAATGTCTTTTAATGTATATTTTTCAAGAGTATCATTTGAAATATATTTTTGATTCCAGTAGAAAACAACTAAGTTATGTATCCCGCAACAGAAACAGAGAATTGCATCGGGAATACAAAAATTAAAGCGCAAAAAAAAAAAAAAAAGAAATTAGCTGGTTTTTCCCAGGAATTGGAAAAGTTTCGAATGAATTTTTAAGGGCAGTTAAGTGCTAAATAGTACCAAGGACCCTCTGGGATCATTAAAGGTTTTGGGAAACTGCCCACCTACCCCTCCCCTAAGCCAACATTTTGCCCTACAACTGTCTGAGTGAGAAATAAATGTTAATGTTGGCTTAGGGAGGGGTAGGTGGGCAGTTTCCCAGACACGTATAATGATCGCTACTGTTGAAGATGTTGTTGTAGAATATTCAAGTATTTGTTCGTCGATGGTAATTGTTGTCTTCTTTTTAAGGAGCTATTTCACACTTTTAGCTATCAAAAAGCTAAACTTTTTCTCGCATTAGTTGCATTTCAAAAACAATGGTCCAGTTTTGTTATTTAAGACTATATTTAAGCATTGGAACTGTCCCTTTCGCCTGTTTCAGCGGATGGCAAGGTTGGATATGAAATGAGACTTGAAAAAGTTGGGCCAACCTTTTCAAGTGGTATTGCCATACCTAAAAAAAAATAATAACAACAAAATACTATGGATAGTGTTCTCTCACGAAAGTTGTTTGATATCTTCGTAACTCCACAGGTAACATTTTTTGTAATTGTTAAATGCACTTAGTAATGACCTCAGCACAGTATTGACCTTAAACAGCTACATAGACGCTAAGGGACCTTTTGACTGGACTACGAGTAAGAGTTTTCGACGGAATTTTCGAGTTTTTAAGATGATCTTTTGTCATACAGATCTTTTCTTTTGAGACTCTCTATTTGCTGATCATCAATTAAAAAGAATGAGAGTTCCTCGAAGTTCCTAAAACGTTCCTGTTCTTATACTCTTAGTCAAATCCTTAGGTCGCTATTTTGTCAGAATTACAAGTATTATAATTTAAAAAAATGTTGGCATTGATGTGGATTGTTTAGAGTGATTTTACTGGAACCGTGAAACAGTTACTAACAAATAGTGCAAAATAGCGAGAGGTAAACAAAAGAAGACAATAGAATTAGTGCATAATAGTGCTTAGTATTCTAATACCTATTTCACGGTTCAAGTAAAATCACTATGACTATAGCACTATGACCCTTGTACGTAACATTGTAGGTTGTGTATATTGAAGTTTTACTCCGGCAGCACGAGAAAATAGACATAATATATTTACTCCTCATGATTTTCTGATATCGGTTTATCTTCCTTAAGTGTGGTCTTTACTGTTCTTGAAGTACAAAAGCAAGTGTCTTGCGTCCGTAAAGAGCTTTTCTCGACCTAATAACGGTCTAAACAGAAGTACAGGGCCTGCAAAAGCGCGAAGATTAATTGGAAATCTCATCGGTCACTTGTTAAAAACGCGGTTCATCTTATTTCTTGTCAAAAGAACTTGTGCGAGTGTTTCAGAATCAGAAAAGATTGATTAAACAATCGCACATTTACAGCCTCGTGTCTTCACGCTGTTCAGTGTTCCTGGCAACAGGTGCTTGTCTTGCGTCCCATGGCAACAGTCACATGCTTTCCTGCCCCTGAAAACAGTCGTGTGTCTTTCCACGCTAGCCATGCTAGCAAATCACCATTCTTACATTACCCATGATACACCTGGTTTAACCCCCAATTTTGCATAACTGTTGTCCCAATTTCTTCGTTCGTCTGAAGAGAAATTAGAGACCTTTAAATTCAAGGACGAGGAGGAGTACGAGTACGAGATTTGGCTTAAAGTTTTTTCGCGTATTCTCAAAATATAGACTCCCCGGAAAGCTTCATTTTAGCATTTTTCACTGGAAAAGTTAGAACTGTTACCTTTAGTGAAGGAGGTTACACCCTCTCCCGATCGCAAAATGATAAAACTTCAAACATTTGATAACTTATTTCCCTACTTCGACATTCTCCCTAAAACTCGCAGTAGAGTGACGACGGCTACCACGTTTTCCCGCCAAAAATGACGCTGGTTCACTCGCGAGTGACCACTTCCTACTTAGAAAATCTCGTACTCGTTGTCGTACAAGTCGTACTCGTCTTAGAATCTAAAGGTCTCTATTGAAGACAGTTTTTTTGGAGGCTGGGGGGAGGGTATTCTGGGCCGAGATTACTCTCGTAAAGACTTCTGGGGCTGTTACTAAGGATATGGAAAAATTGACCAATAGCTGACCGGTGCCTGACGCGTCCAACAAGCAACTGCGGGAAGCATTTCTGCTTCAGTCCCCTTCTCATTTCTAAAGTGGCGGATGGTTCTCTTTTCTCTTGCCTATATATAACCATTGACTCGATTATTTTCTTTTATTAGTTTAAAGGATTAGATCCTTCAGAGATCTTTTGTTGATAGCTGGTTTGATTGCTTCACCCTCGGCTTAGCCTGTTCAAGGCGTTCAGAAAGTGGAGTTTAGCGCGAACGGAGGGCGGGAAAAATTAGGAGAAAGAGAGGGAATAAGAGAGGAGGGAACTCTCGCTCCCTACCCTCGCTGTTTTTCTGCTCCCATCTAGCCTGCGTAGCGACAAGAGAGAAATCTCTCTTGGTAATAAGCGTTTCTTATCGAAATATTGCCTGTCTAGCGAGCGTGCGCATTCCCCACAATCTAAACACCTGTAACAGATCACCCTCTCCTGGCATCATGCAAAATTCTGGCAATTATTTTTTTCAACCAATGGTTGCCTTATCACGTGGTTACCAAACAAGAATAGCCTTTACATAAAATGTAGGTTAAAGTTCAATTCAAATATGTCAAGCTTTGTCCAAACTTCTAATTTCACCCATTTTGCATGTTTAATTCATTCGACACTTGAATCTAATGTATACTGGTCTTTGACTTTCTCTGATGACTTCATAGTCCTTTGTTTTATTTGACACTTGAACCTGAAAGTAGAAATATAGATAGGCTATAGTTATTTAACTATTTATACAAGTCAAGCTAAATCAACTTAAGTGTATTTTTCGGGCATTCTTATTCCAATGCCAAGTTGCAGGATTTACAATTTGAATAGAGCAGTGGTTTCAACAACACTTTCGTTGTAATTGGTTTTACCATGTTACTGCATTATAAGGTTCTTCGAGAACAACCCTCTGGAAAACGAGAAAGCCTGAGGATGAGGCTGCTTGAAGGAAATTTTAAAAGATACAAGTTATTTAAGCCATGGGCGTTAAATTTGTTGCGCATTAATTAGTCCGTCCACTGAGGAATAACAAAAACTTGGGGAGCAAGGGTGGCCAGCAGTGGTGAAAGCACTCGCCTGCCACCAAATGTGGCCCTGGTGAAAATCCCAGCGTGGAAGTCCAGAAATTTTTTCGGGTTAATTTGCAATTGCTTAAATTGCAATTACCACTGCGACGATCATATCTTGAGTTTGTTTTCGGTTCTCGCCCCTGTTCCAAGCGGTTTCTGACCGGTCTTCTCTCTCCTTAAAAATCAGCACTAATAAATAACTCCATTTCGCACGCACGAAGACTTTCACACGATTTATGAGTTTCCAGGTGTTTAGGGATAAAGGTTTGCTCAAATATCATCCGCTGGGAAATGAGCCCACACTCCTCTTCCGAACAGTCTCTTCTTGGGGCGGACCAAGAGAGCGGCGGAAATCAAGCCTAGGCAGTGGTGGATCTAGGGGAGGGGCCTGGGGGTCCGGGTCCCTCCTTATTTTTAGACCAAACTGAGGCCCAAAGGGCCGAAAAAATTTGGGGGGGGGGGGAAGACCGTCCCCCCTCTTATCTAAGGGTCTGGATGAACCCCCCCCCCCCTTCCCCCAAGGTCCGGACCCGGCCCTGCTCCGGTACGAGGTTCCAATTGCATTTCCCATCTGACTCAATTTGTGGTCCAGAGGTTGTTGGTGTCACTGATTTCGCATACCTTGTCCCATAAAACTTAGGGGAAACCCCCCCCCCCCTTACCTCAAGGTCTGGATCCGGCACTGCTACGGTAAGAGGTTTCAATTGCATTTCACATCGGATTCAATTTGTGTGCCAGAAGTTGTTGGTGTCACTGATATCGCATACATTGTCTCATAAAACTTAGAGGGTTCTTATCACCAATTTTTACACATAAAGTGTGTAGGGGGTAACTTATTGATAACTGACATCCAAGGAGGATGAAGGGCCTTATCCTAGAAGTGGTTGGTGAGGGTTGACGGTGACAGTGTTTTAAGAAGGATTCCTACCTATTGCCAGCAATGTAATGGACACCGGATCATAACCAGAAGGAGTATGCAACTCTTTCATACACACACGGCAATAGAACATGTTAATATTCTGTAAAGGGAAAACGAGAAACAATGTCAGTGTCCATGTGGATTTAAAAGGGGGTACGAGGGAACGCCTTACATATTGCGGCGATTACCGATCATGGTGTATGTCCTGGCAAAGAAAGGTTGAACGACAGTCCTAAAGACTAGGATGGAAGAATCTCTTTCTTAACGGATTCTCTTTTGGTGCCACATGACGCAGTTCAAAGACCCTGTTTAGTGGTCTGGCCAGAACTCGAAACCAGGACCTTTTATTCGACCGGCGCTCTTCTAATAAAAAGCTAACCAGACATCTGTGTGGCTTGCGGTTAGGGTGGGGAAAGCTTAAGCCTCCTGTAACGGCGGTCGTCGGTCAACATTCGCGGGTAACATTGCACTGGAGAGATTAAGATTCACGTTTACGCCAAAGGGCAGACGTGAATTTGTACCACGTGACCAAGTTTTCCCCTTATTTTCCGTTTGCTCTTTATTGCTTGTACACAAAAATAAGTAGTTTTATGCCGGTTTTAACCATAGGAATCGTTCGGGACTGTTTTTATCTGCTTATTTCCTATTCTGAGAAATTCTCAACCTGAGTCAGACGTTTGCCGTTTGCGGTAAAAGTGAATCTTAATCTCTCTACTGTTACCCTCTGACTTCATAGATTTTGCAATTTTGCCCGCTCAGAGATTTTGGCAGAAAACAGTTTTATTGCTAGATGTAATGTGACCTCAAAGTAACCAATGAGAGCGCACACTGTTGGGAAAAATTTCCCAAAATATAACAAAATGAGTTTCTCTTCTTACCTCAACCCATGTTGCAATACTATTGTGTTCAATAGGCATGCTTCCGTGATGAGTGCTGTGACTACCGGATACGATTACAAACGGTGCTTCTGAGAAAATTGAGGTGAAGCTGACAGTCTGTCAAGATAAATTTAGCATTTCAAAAGTGATTTGTATAGAAAGACCGTTTGAAATCATATATAGCTAAGCGAGCTAGACCAGTGAACTACAAAGGCGCATGACTCTCCTCTGCTCTTTAGGTTGAAGTATGAAATGCAATGTGACAAGAAGAATTGCACAGAGACTTCATCTAGTCGAGAAAAAGAACTATGAGCGAACTCTAACTTGCACAAACTATGACCAAGAGCCCATTTACCCTATGGGCTCCTGCTAAGGAAAAGATATTATAAGAAACCACGGGAGTAAGTTTACCATACTTTTCCGGCTCTTAAAAAATTTCGTAAAATCAATTAATGTCTTACTGATAGACCCTAATAAGAACAGTGGACCAGCCCCTGTAATAAAAGTTTGTTCCCCAGGCCAGTAATTAGCGCTGCTATGGCCTGCTTCTTTTCGATGCCTTCCTTGAATTGAATTACATTTTACCACTGCTCGAGTCGACTCACCTGGCAAAATGCGTAGTTAGTTACACTTAATAACTCGGGTCCAGGATTATTAGTAAATGCAACGTTATGCCATTCTGCGTTCATTTCGTCTGGTAACTCAAGAAATGCCATCCAATCCTATAGCAAAAGCAAGAAATAAGAAAGGGAAATAACGCAAGGGTGCAAATGTCTCTTCTATAATGTTTGCATATAAAAACGGCGAAACATCGGCATGTCCACTATCTGTATATTTGAGCCAAGTCCTTGACAAAAAAGGTTGAGATAACTGACCTACAATGGAGGTTTGTTTTTATAATCGTTCTACTTACAAGAAAACCAGAGAAAAATCTCTCGAGGTAATTTAAGGAAGAAATGATGTAAAAAAAGCTGACCCACTTTTTAAACAGTAAGCCAAATTTATTTACAGTCGACTTCCGCCTTGCGGACACCTCGCTATAACGGACACCCCGATCAGTTTACTACGAACAGCAGCTAAATCCCAGGCAAAGGTAAATACAGTGTAGTAGACGTTTGACAGTATCATAAACACCTGCTATTACGGAATGTCGCTAATGAGGACACAAACTCGAGGTCTCTACAATGTCCGCTATTAACTAAAGGGAGTTGACTGAGTCAGTATACAAAACTGTGAAGTACTTACAACGGTTATATTCTCGTGCATGCCATCAAAATTTTGCATTTCCCGCAAACACACGGTGAATTTCCCTTTCTCGATGTTCTCTGCCCAGACAGTTGCAGCGTCATGTTTGCGACCACTGTAAGTATGTTTACTGGACACCAGAACGTAGGGTGACTGCGGAAACTTGTCCTTTGGAATAACAGTGGTCAGATGAGAACAAGAGACTCAAGCGTAAAATATTGTAGCTGATTGAAGTGGACCAGGGGAGCGATGAATGAGCTGGTTCTCTCTTGAATGGACATACTATTCTCCGTATGAAGGAGTCCGTAACCCAGAGCGAGCAAATTTCATGTACTCATGTCACCGCATCAGTTATTTTAATCCTTTCACTGCCAGAGTGTCTGATAGAGTTTTGTAAGGTGACTCTAACTTTTTGAGTCTGTGGAGGAAATCCTATGATGTGACCATTCATTCAGAATAATGAAAGCTCTCTGCCTGTACTTACACGTGGTGCTATTTGTTTGAAATTAAATTTTAGAAAATGAAATTTGGAAACTTGGTCGAAATTTGCCTTTGGCCACATTTGGCAGTGAAAGGGTTAAGAACGATTTTGGCGCGAAATAAGAATATCTTTAAAGTCCCACAAACCAGTTAGCAAAACCCTACAGACCGGAAAATGGTTTTTTTGACCGTTTAATGACGTTTTGCTTTGCTTTTTCATATTTTATACTTGGAATGCGCTCCGATAGAAAGAGGCCGGGCTTCCATTTTCGTGGGAAAAAGTGCTCTAAATTCTATGGATTAAATTTATCGATCGTTGCACTGATTTTTGGGCAAACTGGGGAGTCGAATGCATTATTACTTGAAGCTATATAGTACCTGTGGTAAGCTGACCTCCTTACACGTTGTGCCATCCCACCAACTTGGCAAAATCACGTGTCCAGTTACTGAACCCAATGGATTCCCTTGATACAATATAAAATCCACAAAAGTGAGCCCGCCGTCAGGAGGTAAGCGGTCGAGTCTCCCAGCAGTGAGCACGCAAACGAGAAATTTTGAAGCTGAAACTTCTTCAGCCCAGGCTACCGCGGCTTCGTGTGTGAATTGCCCGGATGTGTTAAAGTAGTTGGGAGCCAGCTGAACATGAACAAACTTGTGAGTGAGGAAAATGGAGTTTTCAAGTGTTACTTGTCGGCAATGTGCTTCAGCGTTTCCAAGATAAACGAACGTGCGACCTCGGTAGAATAAAAAAGCTGTAAAATAAGAGCAAATTTCAATTTAAAATGCTTACTTCAATCACCTGTAGACGCAATAGGAAAATCTTTGCTTATCTACCAAATTTTCCCGCGCATTTTGCCGGTGCAGCTTTCGCCCCCTTGCATGCACGTGCTAGTATGGCTGAATAGCTAATTTCTCCCCTTCGCTTATTTTAATAAAAAAAAACTTACGTTCACAACTTCCAGGATGCTTCACTTTAATTTTTCTGCTCTTCAAACACGACTCCTGCTCTAAAAATGCAGAATTCTGGTAGGTAACTTTTTCTTGCGAACACACCTGGTCGTCATAATTAGGAATGTCGGAATCCTCGTCACACACGCAAGAAGCATTATATGGACCATAGGCTTTGCATTTGGCATAAAATGAACACTGAAGTTTATCGCAAGGATCTAGATCTAAAGAGAAAGAAATCTTTATTAACGATGATGACATGCTGTCAAACATACTTCTGTCAGCTATTTTATGGCTTAAGTAATGGGAATCATTCGCGCATATTGTAGAGTGAAATTTTCTTTCAATAGACTGACTACCTTGTAGTATACGATAATGAGCATTAATATATGAAAGCACTGAATTTTTTTTCGACCACACACCTCAGTTAAATTTTTATTGAAAGGTACTCAAAATTAGAATTACCATACAACGCAAATGAAATTATGACAAATAAAAGGAGAAGTTCTCAGTAATTTTCATTGAATGGTCACACATAAGCCGCATTTCATTCACAGACTTAAAAGTTAGAACCACCATACAATGCGAAACAAAAGAAATTATAGCAAGCGAAAGGAGTAGTCAACATTATTGAATAGGTCGTTTTCAAGATCATAACATTTGGGTACAAATGATAGAATTCATTACGTCATTGCTTTCTCTTTTTCAAATTTATCGATCCCATTGTTGGACAAGAAACCGACAAGTTGAAGGATTCTGGAATTTCTAGTCTCGCTCCATATAAGGGAATCCAGATGCCGGAATCCAGCAAATTTTTGCTGTGAAATCCGGAATACACCTCAAGGAATCCGGAATCCAAGTTCCACCAACAAATGGTCGGGAATCCAGTACCTGGAATCCGGCATCGATGGTGCGGAATCCAGTATCCACGACTGTCTTGGATTCCCTTACTTGAGACCATCTATTTAAATGACGTAATCGTGCAATTGTCCTATCTTCAGGCCTCAGTGTATTACCAAGTGACTAAATACCCAAACTTTTGTGCGGCCTGTATTAATAATGAAATGAAGAAAAGGAGGATGAGAGCAAGGGGCTACAATGCACCGATAGTGCTCCTTTCTTGGAAGATAAAAGGCTTATTCTGTCGTAAATAAGTTTATCTTTTATTTCCCTACCTCCAAAAGCGATGTAATGAACAGTTATTGGATCATGGTGTTGATCGAACGGCTGCAAATCCTTCACACACGCCGTGAATCCGATGGTGTCAAGATTCTTCACAATAATAGAAGAGAATAGTCTAAGATGTCAACCGTCTTCAACCCCTTCTCTACCCCTAACCCCCGGGCGTGGTGGGTGGTGGTGGTTTGGAGGGGGGGGGGGGAGCGGAGACGACTGGCATTTCAGACTGAGGGGAAAGGTGTTTGTATAATGGCCAAGAGGTCCTAACGAAGATACTTCTGAAAAGAAATAATCAGTTTGGGATGACATCTACACCTATGTCTTGTGCATACATATCAAGACTCGCACTCATACCAGCACTTAGCTGTGCTCTTAGTTCCCTGTGCGCGTTGGTTTGCCTTAGTTCCGAGAGGCATTTGACCCACAATCCACTTCTTACTATACCCATAATTCCTTGAGACGTTCAGTTTAAAATGACCTCTGACTCAGTTGCAAGAATCAAGCATTTGCGTTGTACAATATCGGTTACCCGTCATCTGCACACAGCACTAGGCATTTTGTGTCGATGTCGAGGTCGGGCACCAGTGTGAAAAAGCATTAGAAAAACTAAAAAAAGAACGAAAACGCCTCGAATACTTACCTCTACCCATGAAGTGATAGCGTTATTTGCAGGATCAACCGACTGCAAGTTCGCTCTGTTAAATTTGTGGCTTGGGCTAAGCAGAAGAACTGGAGCCTGATAAAAAGGCTGTTTGAATGCAACATTCTGCGAAATAAGTTATACAAAGAACCCTTCTTATAATTCTAAGTCAATAGAGTATATTTTGAGTTTTCTAAAGGCAAAAGCTATTTTTCAATCGACAGTACTCATTTTATCCTGCTAAAAAGGTTATATGAACTACTTCACCTCGCAGAAACTGTATTGCAGACGTTTCTCCGGAGGGCCTGTGTTTTTAAACATAATCTTTGATTTTTCAGGCATTTTCCATCCCTTTGGAGTTGTAACGAGAGCGATCCATTGCTACGAGAAAAAAAGAAAGGTTAATGTCAAACTATGAGGGCGATAGGTTGTCGCAAGAAATAGCGCTGGCGGAGACTAGCTCCAAATGTGTTTATAACAGGTTGTAAAAAAATTAATATTTTTGTGTACATTCCTTCTTAAAACTGTTCATAGGCTTGCCCAATTGAAACGACTTAGAGGACGCGTTTTTTGCTACTTGCATCAAACATCATGAAACACTGGGTAAACCCCCTTTTGATACATATTGACAATGTATTTTAATACACATGTTTCAAATCGTATTTCAATCTTACTCATTAGCTTGTATTTTTACCCTTGCATTTGAATATGAAGCAAGTTAAAGTAAGGCTTAAATGCATATTTACAGATCGCTTACAACTTGAATGAGCTTGTGCTTTCCACTAAAATTGGTAACTTCGCGTAACATTATTTTAAAACCATCTTGAGTGATATCCTGGCTCCAAACCGAGGCTGCATCCTTCCTTTCTTTCGGGAAACGATGAATTGGAGTAACAAAGACCTCTGGTGCTGGGTTGAGGCTCTGTTGACAAGGGAGAAAACTGAACCAGATAAGGCCTCCTAGATAGTTTAGCGATAACGTCATTATCTTACTCAGAATAAACAGCTGGACTAACCTGATGAGCAATAAACCGTCCAAAAGCGACAGACAGTTGTGCCAGAAGGGGTCGGTACTCAACAAAGTTTTAAACGGCGAGGCTCCGCACCGAGGTCAGCGCCTTTCCCAATTCATATACCATTTTTAAGATTTCGTATAACTCCTTTTGCCAGAAAGGGAACCCCCTTTCACATACCTTGTTTAGAACCTTGCATCCCTTTTAACTGCTATAAGTGTACTCTCTTTAAATATGAATATGTTACAAACCAGAAAGTTTTCTCAACTTTTACACAGCCATAAACTACATCTGTTAACCCTTTTAATTTTGGGCCTTTCTAAAGACCAAAATGACACATTTTCCTACCCTTTCATATTCTTGAACAAGTGAAATCCCAACACTTTCACAAACCTAAAGCCGTAAAAAGGTACTCCTTTTGGGCGTGCCTTTTGGGAGTGCCCCCCGGGCAGGTTTTATGACTTCTTGTAACGTTCGCCTGATCACTCACGTGATTACAATGATTTTGGCGGGCGTTGTGGGCCAAGTAGAGACTTAACAGGCTATAAGAGATACTTAGGCCCACTATGCAAAGCAAATCCCACTCGGAGCGGAAAGCCAAAAATGCAATCCCGAGTCAGGCCGCAAACACAGGCCCAAGGGCGTTAAGTACCTCTGGAATATCATCTACGAGGGATTTCTAGCTGAAGAAGACACGATACGGGTTGCTGGTTGATTGTAGCTTTCAAGTTACATAGTTAAAGTACTGCGCAAGCGTTTTAAGAGATAGGACTTACCGAGGAAAACGCGATGTCAACGTGCGCCGTTCCACTTGTCCAAAATGGAATCTCTTCAATTCCAGCTGCGGATCCTGCTGGTTGTCCTCGGAACGCCAACCAGTGCATGTTAACTATCTAAAGAAATTTTACACATTGGAAAATCTAGAAAACTGAAAGGCGGAGAATCCCGTATCGACCCATATATTTAATCTACTGATTGGATGGTTGTACAAATTACGGAACGAGAATTTTTCCTCTCAGATTTAAGCGTACTTTGCAAAACAATAAGGGTGATCAATTATTTGAACGAAGTCTGAATTAGATCGCGGCTTAAGATAACAGGTAAATTTCTAAAAGCGATGTTGAGTGGTTTACTTTAGGTAGATAAATGATTTTACACTCTACGCTTCATGCCCCTCTTGGCGCTGATCGTAAAAAATAATGCTTAGAAGCTGAATACAGGGCAAAATTCGAAATGATTAAGACCTCTTTATTTGATAGACCCAATGTTGCGAACTTTATAGTAGAAGGCTTGCCTCTGGAGCCAAAAAATTTATATATAATTAAAAAATAATGACGATGATAATGATGATGATGATGATGATGGAGGAAGGTAGAAGGGGCAAAGGGGTAAGCACTTCCCTTCCCCTCCCCAGAGGGTCCTCTCGGCGATATTTTCTGCTCAAAACTACATTTGAAATTTAGCATCTGTTCTCCTCAGCGCGCTTTGCTTATACCCTAGACTTATATTTTAGTAGATATTATCCCAGAAATGTTCAGTGGATACTTGCCCGCATATCATGAGATGGTCCTGAAGTTTCCACACAAGCCGAAAATCCAGTTGAATTCGTCCACTCGAGCCAGACTGTCACGGCCTGAAGCATGGAGCGGGTCATGGCACTAGACCGCGAGGGTGCCACTTGAACAAACACTTCTTCAGCCGAGAAGGGTGGGGAAAATATATTCGAGTTGCATTGGAAAGTTTTATCCTCAGGGATTACAAAGGTGACTTTTCCATATCGAAGATCGGGGGAAGAAACAGGCTTTTGTCCAAAAACTGGAGAGTTTGGAAAAGTAAACATTGAATAAGGAATTTAAGCAGAAATTTAATCACATCAAAGATCAAAAGTTTGCTGTGCTAGGTTTAGCATTGATTAAAACTTCATTCCGTCAATTCATTGCTATTTTACACATTTTTGTACCCTTCTAAAGACTCAGCAATCTACCATTACAAAAGATGAAAGGCTTTTTAACTCGAACAATGGGACTCCAGGGTTAGAGGGTAGAGTTAGATCGTGAAAAATAACTTAACGCCAAAATCTGGGAAGATTAACAAAGCAATACCATGACTGAAATGGCCAAAACATATCTCATCTGCGATAGTATACAGATATTGTAGCTATCGAGTAAAACCTCTTTTAAAAATTTTGGATCTTATCTAGATCCCACTTTTTTCAATTTTTTTTACTGTTAGATAACAGCGACTAAATATCTTCTGCAATTGTCCTATCCCTGGCTTTCTATCATTATCAATCACTTACCAACAATATCTTTTCCATCAAAATCTTCCTCGCCAGGGTACAACAACACGCACAAAATAATGATTATCGTCACCATGATAAGCAGGCAGCAACAGGGTAAAATAAGACCTACAACAAAACAACTATGAACCGATAAAGAGCACCAGAATGTTCCATTTTTCAGGCGAGCGAAGGCCCACAGCGCGAAGCGAGATAGTTGCGCTAGTCAAGCGAGACAGGGAAAAGGCCTAAATTATTTATTATTATTTTTTCTGCGCCTTCCCCCGTCTCGCGTGTCTGGCACTCCTCTCTCGCTTCGCGCTTGCCTTCGCTCGCCTGTGAAAAAGTAACACGAAAAAGGATCGCCTGTTATGTAGGCTACCGGACAGCGGGCTTACTATTCATACCTAAAGATTTATTCACCTATTTTTTTGGTACTTTTTGATCACGAGTAGAATGATGAACTACTAACGGAAATACGTGGTTGCTACCCTTATCATTAAACGGCCAAAAAGAAACTACAATGTAGCACTATGTTATGACATATAAATTACTTTTGCAAGTCTAACACCACTTAATTTAGCACTACTTTTATGTATTAAATTGAATTTTATTGTTTTGTAAAATCTAATATGGCGGCTATTTTTGAGCCCCATTTTGGATGACGTCACGATCACAGGCTTATGACGGTGGAAGCATTCTCCAGTTCGGACTCGGTGTCGTCACGATCGCAGGCTTGGGCAATTTCCCATCAAAGTCAAATTATTTTTTACAGCACATCACGGGCATCCTTCAGAGCTAAAATCATTCCTTACAGAATTGATCATGAAATACAACAAAAACCTTGTAAGAAAGTGTATGCGCTTGGTTCAGTCTACGATATGTGCCCGGTCACCATGCCAGTTGTTTTATTTCTCCGAATATCTAACGTCCTGAAAATATATGAAGAATTTATGTTATGTTAAGTTAACCTATATATTGATTATTTGATTTAAAAAGTTTTTGACCTTATTCTGCATAACAGGCCCTTTCTCTTCCGTCTTGGGCCTCGCGTGTAACGCTGCGTTCCCCTTGTTTGGCTCATAAAGTGCCTGTTATGCAGGTTATATTCACCTCTTCTCCTTCGGCGAAGCCGTCTGCGGTCGTCCTCCTCGTCGCTTTCTTCCTCGTCTTCCTCTTCGGAATAGTAATAGTCGTATTCAGCCTCTTGGTCTGCGATGGAGGAAACAAACAGGCGTTAGGGGTTAGGCCATCATCGAGAATTTTCAAGGAACAATTGTGCAAATAAAAATGAAGTGATGAATTGTGAAGTGGGGAAGAAATTTCCGGCCGCTTGGACGCTCTCAGAACAGCTAACAGGACGACTTTTGTGAAGTTTGTATTCGTTTAAGTTTTCCAGTGTGGGGAGAAAAGAATCAAAAATCAACAGTCAACAGAAATGGTGCACCCTAGCCCTGAAATATAAGAGCTTTGTGTCAGGAAGAGCGAATAAGTTTTGAAGCCAGCTTCGTGATTTCAGGAAATTTCAACGCGCTCGTAACAGAAAGAGATGGGAGCTTATACAAAAATAGTAGACCTTTTTCTTTTTTCATTTTAAAAATGGTTTTCAAGCTGGATACGTTTTGTCCTAGATTGAACCATCAACAGGAAATGCAAGTTACGTTTTCGCTGGATAAGAACTTCAATAATTTTATCACGCGGAAGAGTTTATAAAGAGTAAAGGAATTTATCTTTAATTTTGAAATCATTTTTATTCTTGAATTTCTTAAACTACCAAGAATGGAAAAGTTCTGCTGAGGCTCGTAAGTTAAACATTTATGCTACGGGCCTGGAAACTATAAGGAAATTTAATTTTATACTTGGCTTCCCAAAATAGTGATCAAAAGTTTGAGAAAATTTTGTCTTAAATGTAATGTGGTTGGCGGTGAGTTATTATTAGAGGCTTTTATTCACAAATGGGTAACAGTTAAATAGTTTACTTCTATATTCACATGAAAAACGTCAGTTCGATGGATGTTAAGTTTAATTGGCGGGTCACGAGTCACGCCGAAAAATTACCTCTTCGTCTTCGAAGACGACGTGGTCGATATGATCTTTCTCCGTCACTTTCTTCTTCGTAATATTCGTGATCTCCGTTGTAGTAATAGTGATCCTCTTCTTCGTATTCTTGGTCGGAATTAACCAAGCTGTATTCATTCAGTTTAGCAGGAAGATATCAAGAAACATGAAAGAAGAAAGTGAAACCGCAACTCACTTTTTCTCCGAATGTATAGTAAATTTGAAACAACTGAAACAGTTCCTGGTTTATGGAGCTTGTAGCACCTTCTTCTACTCTTAGCAAAAAAACGCGGCGCCTTTGCTAACAAATTAAAATAATTGTGCTGTTTGTAAATAAGCTTGATTCAAGAACGCATGATCTGGCACATTAATTTTCACTCTCGTGTGATTGTTACTTTTTTGTGCGCACGGAATTTTCTGCATGGTCTCTTTTGAATAGATGCAGTGGGGCAGAAAAAATAGCGTAAACAGGTATCATATACGTAAAATCCTTCCTGAACGTAAGCCTTTTAAGATTAAGGATACATTTTTTAACCATTTGTATTAATCAGCAAATTGCAATAAATGCAGCTTAACTTGTAGTATTGCAAAGATAAATATCACGTTTGATTTGCATTTGTATTAATCGTCACATTATATTTTTTCATTGTCGGTGATTTTCACAAACTTTGCGCTATGTGTTTTAAAACTCGTGGCTCTGACACCTTTGAATTTTTTGACGAGAACAAGCGGAATGTGTCAATCATAGCACGTGTTTTTTTGTCGATCATCTATTTAAAGGCAGATTTTTACTGTTTCGGTGCACTTTTGGTCTTTTCTTGCCGTGTTCAGATGTTCGTCATGTTGCTGTCAGAGCTTGGATCCTCCCTGGGTTCGCTGCGAGCCATTTTGGCGATTTTCACGCTTTGTTCTGCCATATGTTCGGTATCGTCAGGTTAGTTTATACATGAGTTGCTTGTGGCTTTGAGAAAACCAGGTCAAGGATAGCGTATTTCTCGGAAGGAAATTGAACATATGATTAAATCTTAAGGCTTTATGGAGTACGTTTTCCAGGAAGATTTTACAAGATTTGCAGGGCGCAATTGTATTGCTAGAGAGATTAAGATTCACGTTTACGGCATACGGCAAACGGCAAACGTCAGTTGAAAATTTCTCAGAATAGAAAATAAGCAGATAAAAACAGTCCAGAACGATTCTTGTGGACAAAACTGTCATAAAACTACTTATTTTTGTGTAGAAGCAATAAACAGTAAACGAAAAACAAGGGGAAAACTTGGTCACGTGGTACAAATTCACGTTTGCCGTTTGGCGTAAACGTGAATCTTAATCTCTCTGCTATCTTGATATAAACNCAAAACTGTCATAAAACTACTTATTTTTGTGTAGAAGCAATAAACAGTAAACGAAAAACAAGGGGAAAACTTGGTCACGTGGTACAAATTCACGTTTGCCGTTTGGCGTAAACGTGAATCTTAATCTCTCTGCTATCTTGATATAAACGGAACGGACCCGTTGGAACTAAAAAAATTAAACTTTAAAATAAAATTATTTACCAAATGCGTGCTTTAACCTGGATACATAACGTAGGTTCCATATTTCTGAAGCTAGAAAGCCGAATATGAAAATTTATTTATTCCACAACTTTCCAGGAAACAAGGTTTCATCTAGGAAAAACACCAATTTTAAGGGGGAAAAAGCTGAGCTTATGTCGTCCGCAATGCTTCCGCCTGACCGAATAGGATTTTCGCGTCAACCGCACTTTTTTCCGAAGACTAAAATGAGCTTAAAGAGTGTTTTCACTCACGTGGCCAGCATCTATGCAAATTTCTTGGAACAAGAAAAAAAGCGTTTGCATAAGAAAGGAGTTCAACTCCCACAGGACTGGTTTGGGATACCAACATGGCCGCCGTTTAAATTGTTTTGGGACACCAATATGGCCGCCGTGACGTCATATGAAAACACTCTGTAGTCAGTGGAAACGTTGCTTAAGAAAATTGTATCCATTTTTCTTTTTAGGGACAATTCCCGCAGATGGGATGGTTTTTGGATCTGGACCTATTACTGTCTCGCGAGGTCAGGTTTACAAATGCAAAGCATTCCAGATTGATCCTCCCTTTGGCTCTGGAACGGTTCGAGTCCAACTGCGATTGAAGTCTCCTATCTACAGTGTTGCGGTAACATGGACGAAAAATATCACCACAGCGGGGTAAAGATAAATAAAACTAGTAACATGGCTGTTTCTTTAAGTCTTGATTTGCAATCACGTGACAAAGCAGCCAAGACAATTTCGTTTCGAAGAATTTACAAGAAAATGGAGTTTAGTTCCCAGAGGAGAGAAAGGTCGAGAAGTAGTTTTGTTCTTCACCACCGACATGGCCGTCGTGACGTCACGTGCAAACCAGCAATTTGTTTAACCTACTGGTTGGTCTTTAAAGGCCCGTATACACTTGCTGCATTGCGCTCGTAAATCCAGTTACATAAGAGAGGATGATAACGATATTTTTCCAAACTAAGAGCAGCGGAACGGAAAGTTGTTCAGTTAAATTTAAATGTTTCATGATATTTGAAATGCACTTGAACATTTTCCGAGTAAAAAGATGCGAAACTGAAAGATATTTATCGATGGGTGAGAGCTTTCTAATAATTCGTTCAGAATTTTTTGTTTATTAGCACTTTTGAGGTAAAATTTATACATATGATTTGTCAATTTTTGCACATGTTGTTAATCAGGCCTTTGTATTATCTTGTTACTGTTCTAGATTTATTGGATGTGTTGCAACCACTACAGCTATTACCGAAGGCAACCGAACACTTACTCTGCAATGGTTGGCATATCAGAATGTTGCTGGGGATAACGGCTATTCATCAAGGGAAACTATTCCTTTTTTCACAACTGGAAGCAGATGCATCAAACGATCTTATCAGCAGGTATTAAGCCCCGTGCAAACGAAGTAACATTGTTGGCCAACATATCCCAGCATTGTTGGGCCAACAACTGATTTTGCGTCCGTTTGCACGTCGCTAAAACTTGGTTAATGTTAACAAACTTTAATGTTTCTATATTGGTTGTAG